TATAGTTTTACCTTTTTTCAAATTTCACAGATTTTTTAATAAGGTTTTAATATAATTTAACCAAGTTTTACTTTTACTATTTAGACGTTTGTCTAAACATTTGATTTCGTCTAGCAACCTTAATCATATCCAATAATTGCTAATGTTTGTTTTTTAATAATGGAAACACAAAAACATTTTCAATTTTATATTGATAAAGATGATTTTAATCAGTCAATAATAGCATTTTCAATTAATCAAAATTGCATGTGATCAGGTTATGAAATTGATCTTACCCAATATCGCCTCAAGAATTTCCCCCATATGATATGCACTATTTGTCATCCAATATCACATCTTCCTGATTTCATTTTTACTATGTATTCTGAAAACAAATTTTTCACCACTAAAAAATTTTTGTTTCACCCCCCTTAAATGTCACCGGTGGAAAATTACTTGTAAACTTTGTGTTAAATATGAAACTGTGACGCAGTAAATGAGATTTTCGTTAACGATAAGGGAGTTGATGACCATATCATTTATCACTGCGGTAAAATAATAGAATTATAGATTTATTGAAATTGTGAAATTTTAGTTAGAAATCATGTAAAATTTGAGAAAAATTTATAAGTATTCAATAAATTTTATATAGAGATTAATTGGTGTCGAACCTCGGATTAATCAGTGGTGATTAATACGTTGATTCAATTTATTAGCTCAAATTTAAATTTGCGATGATTACGAAAATTATAATGAATTAAAGGTCACAATTATCTGTTTGGAAACTGGTCCTAAACCTGGTTTTGAACCAGTTACAAAGCCAGTTATTAAAGACTAGGTTACAAGTCCTAATGATGGGACCTGCAAGTTATAGGACCAGGACCGAACCAGGCGGACCTTTCCAACCCTATACGAGATATATTAGTGATCCCTTGATCTAGTACAAAGCAAGCAGAGACAAAGGTGATCAAGAAGGTTGTACGACGATACGAATGTTCTTGGAGTCACATAAAGGTGTCGTCAAAATCACTAAATGGAGACAACCTTTCACCTCCGAGTTCTTGTATAGTAATATTTTCTTTATCAATATCACGGGATCTGCTTTGAAGAGTTTTCAGTTTAATGTTCTCTGTATCGCCAGGAATATCCACCTTCCATAATTTTCAACTTGTTGACATCAAAATTTTTACTTTTGAAATCGTTATTACTTTCCTTAATTTTGAAATGCTCATTCCTGCATAGCCTTTAACTTCAAAGGTCGATACCTACCACAACATCATTCCGGTGGTATTTCTGCCAACGCGAAAATCGAGAGTTAAAAAACAAGGGTCAAAGAATCAATCTTTCAGTAAAATATCAAATAAAGACCTTTTGTATATTTTTGTATACAATCTTATATTTTTTATATTTTCAGTCGATTGATTCATATAATGAAGGATGATGACGAGTAACGAAATGGTTCGAAAATTTTTATGAATGATCTTGGTGAAACTTAGATGGGTTCAGTTCTCGCTGAATCGGTTATCTTCGTTAATTACGTAATTAAGACAAAGTTCTCACTATAAATAATACCGATCGAAAAAATTTATCAGCGCCAAAATGTTTGGGTGAAGCCCAGAAATATAAATTCTACGTTATGACTGAATTTTCGTGCGCAAATGATGAATTTGCACAGTTATGTTCATTTGCGCTTTTAAACTTTATAGTAAAACTAGGGTCATTCATTTAAGGTCATTCGAATGGCATGCCAAAAATCAATAATGAAGCATCAATGCTTACATCAACCTTTTTGGGCGTTAAAATGATGATCGGAAAATTCATAAGAAATCATTTTGTTTCTTACAACAGAACATATTGAATTAAAATTAGAGCAAGTATAAAAAAGTGCACAATGAATTCAAAAAAGTCATCCAAACCGTTTGGATTTGGGTTTTCACATTCTGGATCTGCAAATAAATCCAAATCGATTCTTGAATCCGACGACCAACAGCGACAAAAACCACCTTCTCTTGATTACTTTTCCGACGAAGATATACAACCTAAAAAGAGAAAATTGATTAAACTTGACGATCCTTTAGAAGAACAGTTAACTTCTTCGAGTAATAAATTGGATGATTATGATTTGAACAAGGATTATGTTGGAAATCTGGAGGACGATATTCCACCACCTCCTCGAACTTCAACAGGTTTACATATAGTGTAATTATTTAGCACCTATTTTTAAAAAAATAATGCTAATTTTATTCCTGCAATGCATAATAGGAATTCAAGGTTTCGTGCCCCAGGGATATAATGTTGATAAAGAGGTTCAAAGCAGTCGAAATATTAAGTCTGAGGTTCAAGTAAATGCGATGGAGGAAAATGATCCATTAGACGCTTTCATGTTGGATATCGATAATCAAGTTCAGAAAGAAAGTCTCATTAAATCTCAACAAGAAAAAGTATGATTATGTATATATATATATATATATTTAAACTTTTTTTAAACCCCCCCCCCCCCCCCAACGCTGTATTAATCAGATAATATCCTTAAAAATTTTCAAATTATCAATGTGTAATTATAAAACAGTTTAGGCGCGATGACATTGAAGATGAAGATTTTGTAGAGAGTTATGTTAATCATATGAAAAAGAAAGGCATTGAGGTTGGAAAAAGCCAACGTCCAATCGAAAAAGATGAGGTATACTTGCTTTTAAGTCAAATCAATATTTATTGATGAATCAATCATTTACCAATATTTGTATTTTTAAATTAGAATGCTAATTCAGACGAAGAGGTCTATGCTACTGCCCGAGCTATTGACGCGCAACTCGAGTAAGCTTCAAATAATGGAATATTTTTTTTTTTTCGTTTATTAACTAATTGATTAAATTGTTTGATGATATCTATCTTTTATTTCATTTTTTTTTCAGATATGATTCTGACGACAATCCAGTTATAGAACAAAAGCGTAAAGATGTAGAGCCACTCCCAGCTGTTGGTAAAGAATTTTCGTAGTGCTTTATCTCAATTTCATTTGCAAGAATAAACTAATAAATATGTTACTTATTTGTAGATCATTCTCAAATTGATTATCCTGAAATTGGAAAATTTTTTTATGAAGAACATTCCGATATTGCCAATTTGCCTAAAGAACGTGTCGAACTAATTCGAAAAGAACTTGGTAATTTTTATTTATTTTTTTTAATTTTATTTTAATTCGTTGACAGACAAAGATGATAATAATATTCAAATAACTTTACTATGACAAATATATAGATATGCATGTTTCGGGTGCTGATGTTTCAAAACCTTGCATTTCATTTGCTCATTTTGGATTTGATGATGCGTTATTAGATGTTATTATTAAACTTGGATATTCGGACCCTACTGGGATTCAAAAACAGGTATCTCATCATTCATTATTTCGAAATATGTCACGAATTCATCTCATGCATATGTATTTTAGGCGGTCCCCGTCGCTTTATCAGGTCGAGATATTATAGGCATTGCGAAAACAGGTAATAAATCATTACTATGTCAAATTTATTTCTAAACGATTCCATGTTTAGTTTACTGATTCGGAGGTTTGATTTAAGGTTCCGGTAAAACTGCAGCTTTTATATGGCCGATGTTAATACATATAATGGATCAGGAGGAACTGTCTAAAGGTAAACAACTAAAATATTTTATATTGCAGATATCATTAAAATTGCGCTTTATTTGTTTTTAATTTTTTTTATTTAAAAAAATTGACGTTACACGATTTAGGTGAAGGCCCTATCGGATTGATATTAGCACCTACAAGAGAGCTTGCCAGTCAGATATATATTGAAGCTAAAAAATTTGCAAAGGCTTATGGTCTGAGGTAGAAATTAACACTAAAATTTATCCCATGATTGGTAGAATGGAAACATAAGCGATGCACACACTACTCTCTCTGCTTGATTTACATAAATGTAGAGTTGCAGCAGTTTATGGAGGTGCTTCGAAAATGGATCAATTTAAAGAACTGAAACCTGGTGGAATTGAAATTTTAGTCGGTACTCCCGTAAGTAATAATAAATTTTTATAATTTATAATTTGTAAAAATTGTAAGAATGAAAAAAAAATAACTTTTCATTTTTTAATAGGGTAGACTTATCGATATGGTGAAAATGAAAGCGACAAATTTTCGACGCGTTAGTTTCTTAGTCCTTGATGAAGCCGACCGTATGTTTGATTTGGGATTTGGCAAGTAATTTTCTTGTAATTCTTCTTTTTTGACTTTAAAAATTATGTTCTAATTAAGATTGAATGTAAATATATTTAATAGAGCCTCAAGTGCGATCTATTTGCGACAATATTAGACCAGATAGGCAAAGTATGCATAAAAATTAATATAATTCGTTTTTTATATACTTTTCAACTTGAATCAATTTTTCATAATTTCTTAGCATTGTTATTTAGTGCCACATTTCCTAAAAAAGTAGAGACCTTAGCTCGAGAAGTGACAACAGAACCCGTGAGAATTTCAATTGGATACGTTGGACAAGTACACTTTAAATTATTTTATAAATTATTTTCAACTTTTTTACTGCACGTTATATCAATTTTTTATCATCATTTAAGGCAAATACTGATATAACTCAAATTATCGAAGTTTTAACTGATGATGGATATAAATGGGATTGGTTAATTACACGTTTAGCTTCGTTTTGTGTTGGTAAGATATTTATCTGGAATTAATAGAATCCAAGATTATTTTTCTTAATTATTACAAACATATTGTTAAATTTTATTTATCACATAAAAGAGGGGAGCGTACTCATTTTTGTTAGTAGGAAAGGTGGTGTCGATGAATTAACCTTAAATTTGCAACAATCAGGATTCGATTGTAAGTGATTAATAATTTTTTTTTTTAAAACAATCCTTTATTAAAGTTCTAATTAATTAATAATATTTAACAGGTGGCGCATTGCATGGTGATATGATGCAAGCTGACCGTGACAAAGTGTTGAGAGACTTCAAAAATAACAAATTTCCTATCATGGTAGCTACCGACGTAGCTGGTATGTGATTACATAGTTCAATGTATTGTTTTAAGATCTTTTCTTATATTATATTCTTGCATATTTTTTTATTTTAATAGCAAGGGGTCTTGACATAAAGGCCGTTAAGACTGTAGTAAATTACGACATCGCAAGGGATATTGATTCGCATGTACATCGTATTGGTAGAACCGGTAGAGCTGGTATGTTGCTAAATGGTGAATGTAAATAATATTAATTTGATATTAACATTAAAAATATCTCAGGTGAGAAGGGTACAGCATATACACTCATTACCAAGAAGGAAGATAAATTTGCAGGAGATTTAGTAAGAAATTTAGAATCTTCTGGTCAAATTGTTCCAAGCTTGTTAATGGATCTGGCGATGCAGGTTAATATTGACTAGTTTACATTAAATGTTATGATGTAAAATTTAAAACTAATCTATTTTAATAATAGAACGCAAGGTTCAGAAAGTCGAGACAATTGATTCGAGGAGGACGTGGCAGAAGTGGTCGTGGTAGAGGTCGAGGTCATGGTCGTGGAAGTTATCATTGTTTGATTTATATATAATTTTTCAAATTAAATTGTTAAAATTGATATTTATTTAGGTCGTGGATCTGCAGGATCAAGTTCGAACGCCATTCCACTAGGAAGTGGAAGAGCCGGAATTGGATCAGTAGGTTCACAGATACCTCCACCACCACAACTTAACACCAGTAGTAATAGATCAGGTCGTAATAACGCAGGTGGTTACCAATCGAAATTTCATGTGAATTTTCAAAAAGCTTCTTCATCTGAATCCGAGTTAGGGTTATTACGTTCTAGTAACACAAGTTCCTCATCAACAACTTCACCTAGCGGACATCAACGTAAAAAACGTTGGGATTCATAACGTATATTTTCTGTTTATTTCATTAAATTCATAAATTTTAGTAATATAACTAACAAACAATCTTTAACTTTATATTTGAATTTGAATTTTTTGAAAATATATATATATATATATATATATTTCAATATTTTATTATGTTCTATAATAATAGTATACAATAAATAATATAAATAATATATATTATACAAATATTCAATTCTATATTAAATATTGAAATGCAAAGTATAATAAAGTCCATTAATTTTGCACATATTTAATGAAATAAATAAAATAAAATTCAAAATGCAACAATAGATTATTTACAAAAAAAAAGACTCTGAATTGCTTATTTTTTTAAAATTTTTTTTTCTTAAGGAGGCAAAGATAAAAAATTGGCAATTTAATCTTTTTCCAAATGATAATTATCGGTTACTACTGCAACTAACACACTAATATCATCTCTTTTACCTCCTGAATAATATAAACCTTCTTGCATAGCACGAGATTGAAAAGGAGAAGGAACATTAAGATCTTTACTTGCATTTTTTGCTTTCCAAGCTAAAGTATCACTTATAATTTGAGGATCAACCTTTAAACCACCTTGCCTTTGACAAAATAATTGTGAAAATTCTTCAAGTATATCTTCTTCAAATAAATTATCAAATATACCATCACTACCCATAATTATTATATCACCATGTTGAATTTTAACAGTGAATTGTTGTGAATCTTGAGGGGTATCAAATGAACTTGTTCCCAATTGGTAAGGATAATTGAAAGAATGTTGTTGTTCTTCAGTTTGAAATATAAAATCATTATAACGTATCACGCCTATACCACAATCTCCTAAATTTGCTATCCTTAATTCATCATCTCGTAATAATGCAATTAAAGCTGTTGATGATCCAATAATACCCTTTAGTGAACCAAGAAAAAAAAAGATATCTCTTTAATTGTTTGATATATGAATGAAAAAATTTTTTTTAAAAAAAATAATAAGATAAATACCTTTAATGTAGGATCTTTAACAACTTGCTCATAACTTGCTTGTAATATATCAACAGGATTAACTTCGTTATAATGATAATATTTCTCATCATCAATATTATCATATCTTTCAAGTTCTGCGAATGAGTAATGCATCAATTTACGAGAATATAAAGCTGAATCCGCAACTAAAAATTTTTTTTTAAAAGAAAACAAATATATATATGGTTTTTTTATTAGCGAAATATCAAATAAAGAAAGAAAGAAAGAAATTATATGGATACATGACTTTTTAATCCAGATTCAAATTATTTATTTAGCCTGTTATAAATTTTACTTAATGATGTCCTCTTTTTCTTTGAAAAAAAATAAAATAAAATAAAATAAAATATGGGATATAATCAAAAAAAATCAATTACCAGCATTACGTAAAGGAGCAACATTACGCCAACCACCAACTCCATCAGCTACACCCAAGGAATCATATCTCAAAAAAAAGCTATCCTCTCCACACCCTATGCTATAATATTCTCCATCATTCCTTGTTGTAATTAATTTTTCTGAATGTTTTGATATACCAGATCCACCATGATTTAATATAAATGAGTTCCTTTTAGTATTAGAAATTGATGACAATGGTTTTTCATAAAAATCTATTATAGAAGAGTGACGTTGATGACTTGTTATAGTTGTTGAACTTGATGACGTTACTATAGTCGGTGAGACATTTGAAGTTGGTTTATTAATTGACGTTGTGGAATCAAAAAATTTTTGTGGTTTTGAGGAGTGTGGTTTAAATGCTTTTGTTGTTGTCAAAAAATTTATTGAAAAAGAATTATTAATATATCTCCTGTTATTATATATTTTTGAATAAGGAAAGGAAAGAAAAAATGATGGTTGATTCAAAAAATTTTTGTTAACATGTGGTAGTAGTGTACGAGTTGTTGCTGAGGTAAAAAATGAACGTGCTAATGAACCATTTTTTGAGGTATTATGAGCATAAAATGATAGTTGATTTTTAAGTAGTTTTCTTGGTCGAAATGATGAGCAGAATGTCTTTTGAAGTAAGTACGTGGTAAATTTTATTGATTTCTTCATTCGAAATATTGCCTTACTTTAAAATAAAATGAAAAAAGAATATTAAATTTCTAAGAAAAAGAACTTATACAATGCAAACAAAATACCTTGGTTTTGCGGTAAACATAATATTTTGACCTTTTTAAAATTAAAAAAAAAAGTATATAAAGGTTGAGAACGCGTAAAAAAATTTACAAGCAAAAAAAATTATGATTTTTCAAGTAAAAAAAAAAAATCAAATCAAAAAGTTTATAAGAATTCAATTTTTTTTAATTTTTTTATAAATGTCAATGGGGAAGGGTTATCTTTCGATCTAAAATTCTTAAAGAAAAAATGATAAAATGATAACAATGTTACCAGATAAGCATTTGAATCACGTGAATTATACCTAATATAAATTGATTTTATAAACAATCAAAGAGAAATTATCTTTAGGGTAACCATTCTTTGCTTATATAATTTAAATTATTTATAGGACTTTATCCGTTAAAACTTCAAAGCAAATTTGGGTGAGAATGTACGTGCATTAAGAAAAAGTTCATAAAGCAAAAAACGTATCAATATTTGCCTAATAACGTAAAAAAAAAAAAGTTTTTAATCATATTCTTCTTCATCATCTACAAAGCCTGGTGATATCCCTCTGCCTCTTAATCTACCATCATCTTCAACATCACTAATATCTCTCAAATCTTTGTCATGATAATTTAATTCTTCATCCGATAAATCGGCAGAACCTCTACGAGAATCTTCGGGTTTGTTCGCTTGTGAAGCGTCAACCCATTCATAATATACATCAACAGGATCACTTAACGCTAAACAATAAAAATATAATTAATTCACTCTTTATAATATAAAACATAATGAATAATAAGAAGCCTTACGATTAATTGGTGATTGAAATTTAATACCACATAATCTACAATTTAAATTACCAACTTTTGCATCTCGCTGCCTGAATAAATTCAGAATTTTAGATTAAATTATGTATTTATTAAGCTTCACGATGGAAACCTTAGCTACCTTACATTTTAACATCAACGCATTTCTCGTTGTTACAAGCAATACAATCAAACTGAGTATCAAGCACTAATTTTTTCTTTGGCGCTGGCTTTCTTTTAGTTTTACGTTTACCCATGTCTATAAAGTTTAGATTGTTCGATTGAGAATATAAGGAAAAAATTTCTAAAAATAAAATAAAATAAAATTATTCTATTCTATTCTATATATATTTATTAAAATCATGATTAAACAAAAAGTAAAGTGTATCATACAATATGTTAAGTTAACGAGTAAGGAAAAAAAGAAGTTTTACGATCTTAAAAAAAAAGGTAAACAAAAAAGGAATATACCTATATATCGTTACACAAAATACAATCAAAAATTTTAAATTCACATGACCGGACCTGGGAGACATTCGAAACAGGGACGATGATTTTCTGTAGAATCACGTGAGATTCTTAAGTTCGAATTTTGATCATTGAACTACGTGAACTACGATATTCTTTCACGTTTTACAATTTGTACATTTGTTTTTCGTAAATATTCATTAGAAGGATTACAAAGTTCTTTAATTACTGAACTATTATTGTGGGTCAGTAAATGAATTAATTGAAGAGCAGGTTGATCTTAAATGGGAATGCAATCAAATGTACCCAAAAATTGCATAAATTATATTTGACTCACAATTTCTAGTTGCAGTGTAGAGCGTAGTTTCTCTATGTATAATAACCTTTTAAATAATGGTCGGCAAAATCTTTCGTGCGAATCATTAAAAAAATTAAATATGTTATATTTAATAAAGTAATTGATTTTTAAAGCAAATTTTTTATATTTTTTAAATACATAAAAACACCGAATTGATTTTAACCACCACAGAATTACACAAAATGTATGAAAATCGGTATCACATCACATCACAGAATTTTGTTTAACCACTGGTTTTTATCACCGCAGAAAATCATCGTCCCTGATTCGAAATGACCATTGAGATTCTTTAACAGGAATGCTGGTCTTGTAGACGTGTATCGATATTAACCTGATAAAATCTACCTGAGATATGATTTATTGCAACATTTTAAAATAAGATTTAAATTGTCCTTATTAATTAAATAAAGTTATGATTAGATTTATTACAAGAATGTTTATTTATAAGTGAATGTTTTCTCATCCTATTTATATAAAACTGCTATTAACTAAAGAAAATAAAGCAATTATTTACTATCCTAATAATGCTTTAACTAAAGATGGATCTTGCACAAATCTTAAATATAAGAATTATATAATACATGCAACCAGTTACAGATTTTAAAATAAAATATCCATCTTTACTTATAACTTAAACATGTAAAAACTTAGCTAATATAATTTTTTTTTCAAATCTAAAACTTACAAAGTATTATTATTGTAAACAAATAGTATTCCTAAAAGATTGTTTATAGTAATAAAATATAAAATTTTAATTTTAGTAATATAATTATCAACTTTATTAAAAATGTTTTTCTATAATAATTCAATTTTAAAATTAAGTTTATAAATATTATCAAAAGCACAATAGTTCATTAGCATTTATCATAAGTTATCATTTTTATTAAAATTAGCATTATATGTAAAAGTTATAAATCAAATATAGCATATAGTCATTAAATCTTAAGAGAAATTACAGCTTATAATACATATCAAAATCATTATGTTATAAAAAAAAATATTTCATTTTTTTCGTGGTGTTGACATGATTGATAAGGAAAAAAATGAAAGTCTTTCTTTTTCGCTGAATTTTACAGCATAACATCTTTGTTCTCTCATTATTCAGATTAGCCAGCATCATTTTGGTAGCGTTTAATTTCTGTAAAAATCCTATCATAATGCAATAAGCAATTTTTGTATTGCATATATTCCAGCTAGCTAATAGGATCAGTGTCTCATAAGCCAATATAAGGTGGTTCAATTCACTAAAGACA